GGGGGCAGAAGAACCAGAACAGAGGTTACGTTTTTTTTTTTTTTTTTTCAATCATGTTTTTTGAGGGGAGGAGGGTGTTGCGGTAATTTAGAGCCTTGTACTAGCCCAGTTGGACCAGCGTGTAAAGGTGGGTAGTGGCCCGCCACAGCGCCGTAGTAGCCTTCGGGCTACTGTTTATGTCGAACCCTGACGACAGTGCCATGGGCTGTCAACTTGTCGATGATGTTGCACAGTGCACACAGTCGACACAGGAACATTAAAAAAAATGTCTGGCAATGGACAGAATAGATTTCTGTTTGCTTGAATGTTCACTGCTCCTCTGTTCTTCCTCAGGTGCTGGTCAAACAAGAGCCACTGAGCTCACCCGAGCCCGCAGATGAAATTAGTGATGTGACATCCCAGGCGGAAGGCAGTGACCCGGCCGAGCCAGCGAGCCAGGAGGAAGAGGAAAAGGTGAAGCTGAGTCCCGAGAGCAGTGACCGCAGCTTCACCTCAGAACCACAGCCCAGCTCTAGTTCGCTGATGCAGTCAGGCTCCCAGCTTCTCCTCAAGAGCAGCCTGGGAGGAGGTAGGGGTGGTTTTGGGTGTAGTAACACGCTGAACAGCAAACCAGATTTCAGTATCTCTAGTTTCCTTGGCCCAAAGAATTTTGGGGGTGGTGATGCTAGTTTGATCGGTGGAGAGGATGACCTTCCCAACACCACCACTGGTGAGGCTGTTGCTCATAACTACCTGTTGAGGCAGGAAGCTTCTGGACCATCCGCTCCTGCCCCGTCCTCTTTGCTACATTCCAGTGCACTCAGCAGTGGAGGTTGTACCCGTTTTGGAAATAACTTACAGGCCGATTCCCTCTTCCTTCGCCCCCTTCATGACGGTTATGGGAACCCAAGAGGAACTGGGGGGAGTGAAGGGCATGGAGGGGTTGATCCATTTGGTTTGGACTTCCAGCGCTCCAGCCTGGGGCTACACTCCCTGGGGCGACCCCCACGAGGTGCTAGTGGAGCCACCCCCACCGTTCTGGGTTACCCCGGATATAGGCGCATCGCCCCAAAGATGACAAACAACATGGGGAGGGGAGAGGGCGGCGCACTCCAGGATCCCGCCTCTTCCTCGTCCAGCCTGGCGAGCCCCATGCTCCTTAATGAGACTTCTGGGTACGACATGGCTGGCGGCAGGCCCACCTCCCTCCCGCCTCAACTGACACGCGCCTCAGCAGACGTGCTGTCCAAGTGCAAGAAGGCTTTGTCGGAGCACAACGTCTTGGTGGTAGAGGGCGCTCGCAAATACGCATGTAAGATCTGCTGTAAAACCTTCCTGACGCTGACTGACTGCAAGAAACACATCCGAGTGCACACGGGAGAGAAACCTTACGCGTGCCTCAAGTGCGGCAAGCGTTTCAGCCAGTCGTCACACCTCTACAAGCATTCAAAGACCACCTGTCTTCGCTGGCAGAACACCAATATGTCCAATGCTCTACTCTAGAGCTCTTGTTGGTCCCAAGAAGGATGCTTGAAGTCAGTCTTGATCACAGCGCGAAAAGCATAGTCGTTATGTTGTCCATCACCTTGTGGACGGTTGTCCCGAACAAAGTTAAAGAAAGATGTGATAATGTCAAAACAGGACTGATAAAATGTCATGATTATTGGCCTATTAAGTCACATAGTTAGACAATGTATCTCCCTGTGCATTACGAAGCCAAGTATTACATACTGCCCAGAGAAGATACGTTAAAATCAACTGAATTCCAAGTGCCAAGAGACACACTTTCAGCTTTGACTTTTCAGTCCACTAATGGGACTTTTAGCCACCAGAGAAGCGCACTTGTCCAGTAAAGGTATGTACTGTAGTTTAGGAATTATCACATTCCACTGGAAAATCCAAGCGCACCTTAATTTGCAGTCACAAGTATGACTAGCCTTAATTGTTACTGATTGGGATTGAAAGAGCAATTTTTCTGCGCTGTGTGTAATAAAACTGCCATTCAGCAAGATTTCTGAAATGTAATTATCAAGCATTTGTTAGTCAATGTATAATTCTTTTCTGATAGAAAGTTAAGGGTATGTGTAAATGTTCACTTGGCTTCATTTCAGTGCTTTTAAACGTGTCTAATGCATCTCACATTGTGCACGTGTTACAAAGACAAATCATTACATTTATAGTCAATAACAGTGATTGTGAATGTCTCCTTTTAATTACGGCCGTTAAGGTGGGCAGTTTTGTTGCGTTCGTCTGCCTGCTTTTGTGACCTTATATGAAAAAAAAGAGGGAGAATCATTGACTTTTCAGATTTATTTTACAGTATTTGAACCAATTATAAGTGTGAACATACCTGCCTGTGACTTGTTGACTAATTGTCCAATGCTTGTTGTTTCTTATCCATCATTAAAATCACAGAACCTTATTAAACATGGCAGGGTTCTGCTAGGTTGTAAATCGGAGCAGACTTGTTGTTGAATAGAAATCATATTTAGTCAGTGTTACATAAGTGAACTGAAATGGAGTTTAAAAAAAATAGTCGATTAAAACAAAAATTATTGCTTTTTTTTTTTTTTCAGGTATCACTGAACGCTCTGTGAGAATCTCAATCATTCCTATTGTGCACCTTATTCGTACTGAGGAGCCATTAAAATGAATGTGTTCCTATGAGAATTTGGAAATATTATCGAAAGCATTCAAAAAGCCTATCTGAACCGAACCCTGAATATTTTTGAAAATGCGATATTCGCCACAAAATGTACCTGCTGGTTGAGTAGAAGCGCCTGTGCTAAAGCCAAACTGTGGCAGGGTTTTTATTTTCTGGACCTCGATTGACAGCTCTGGTGCCTGCATCACACAAACTTAACTTCCTCACTTGAGTGCCAGAGTCATCATATTTTGCACTAAACTAGATACATACTTAGTCTCAACAGAAAAAAAAAACTTAAATTGATGATTCTGGTTTATGCCTTAGGTCTTTGCGATGAAAAAGCTTTTGTTGATTGAGGCCAAACTGTCAGTATTTCTTGTTTTTGTTCTCTTTGATGTTAACATAGCATGACCATACAGTATAGACGGCCAAGGGGTCTTGTTGATTGTCCATTCAGTTGTACCTGCACACTGAATAAGAATTTTTAAAAAAAACTATACATGCACATGAATAAACAAAAAACTAAAACAATGAAAGTTGAGTTGTTTGTGATTTTTGGATTTTTTTTTTTATTAGGTTTTTAAAAAAAAAAATTATGAACAACTTTTATTTGAAATGCTAATATGAGTGGCTGCTTCAGTATTATTTTTTTGCCAGTTCTCCTGGGCAGAAACAGTTGCAGCTCACAATTTTAGCTCTTTAAGCATTGGTTCACCCTGGAGGCCAAGCAAGAGGTTGTTTGCCGCCAGGCTGGACATGGCGTTACGGGTGCTGTAGGAGGCACTGGCGATGTGTGGCAAAATCACTGTCAAAGGAACAGACATGAGGAACATCAATGCGGGCAGGGTAGGAATTGAATATGTTGACAAATAATATTGAGGCATCTGAGCATTATTCCAGTGTGTGTCTGGGAATTTTAGTCCATCGTGTGAGGTCAGACGTGACTGATGTTGGAACTGATAGAGGGAATAGCGCATACACATATCTTGACCTTGCTCTGTGGAAGATTTTTTAAAATTATTTCCCATATGCTAAATAGAAAAATCTCAAGGGATGCCACCAAAAAAAGAAAAAAAAATGTACTGAAATAATGATGACCTAGTCTTAATTTACTCACAAATTTGTGTGAACTCTTGGCCTGTTTGGTGCAACACAAAGCTACCGGTATTATTCTGCTACATAAATGGCAACAGATACATCGGCTAATTGTAATTTCTGATATCTAGTGGAAGAACATTTAATTGTTGTGCCAGATACAGATGCGTCTTACTTGAGATATTAGTTATTTCACTCTGCAAACTCAAAGCACTCAGATCTGAAATCATCTTTCCCCACTAAGTGAATCGAAATGTCATTTATCTGTTCCAGCCTCTCTTGTCATAACTAAATAATTTTCTTTGCAATTATGTGAAAAAAATAAAGCTTCATTTCCCGTGGCACACCTGATGATTTCTCACAGCATATGCCGCAGTGCAGTAGTTGGGATTCACTGCCCTGAAGACAACCATGAACAATCATAAACTTACCACAGTTTTTGAGGGTGAACAGTGGATGGTCAGTTGGTAGGGGCTCAGGGACGGTCACGTCTAATCCCGCGCCAGCAATCTGATTAGTGGCCAATGCCTCATATAGGTCGTTTTGATTCACCACGCCGCCCCTTCAACAACAATAACTGTTTGGGTTCATCAAATCACTGAATGGTTTGGGTTGTTTTAGTAATTTTTGTCCAGTTTTGGACTTGTGCTTTCTCGACTTTGCTTCTGAATGTCGTTAACTGTTGTGTTTGTAAATGCTTTTCGGTGTTGTGTCTTTGCTTGTGTGAAGCACATTGAATTGCCTTGTGTATGAAATGTGCCATATATAAATAAAGCTACCTCGCCTAGTATTAGCTATGTGTTCTTATTTCAGTTGAAAATTGTTTCTGTCTTACCTGCTTGTGTTGATGAAGATGGAATTTTTTTTCATCTTGGAGAAAAGGTTCTTGTTGCAGATTTCATGTGTTTCAGGTGTTAAAGCACAACACGCTAATAGGAAATCGGACTGCTTTGCCAGCTCATCAAAAGACACTAGAGCAAAGTGATCGGTAGTAATTCGCACGAGAGCACCTTGACAAAATTCCATAAAGAGTATTCTGAATTCCAAGTTAAAAGGCACCAGACTGGTTCTTACCATACTCTGCGTTAATGTCACTGGCCAGATCGGGCCGGGGACACATGTCAGTGTAGATGAACTTTTTCACTTTAAATGGAGCCAGGCGTTCAGCAATGGCCACACCTTAAGAACCAAACATACATTGAGTCAGACGATCCAAAATATTTGAGATAGGTTGACATGTTTGTTGTCTGGAGTTCTCACCAATCCTCCCCAGGCCTAAAATACCCACAGTGCTGTTGGCCAGCTCATGTCCACACAGCCACAGAGTTCTCCATGTCCCCCAACCTCCACTAAAGTCAAGGTTAAAAGGCAGCAGCTTACAGTACAATGTGTGCACAATGGATTTGAGGAAATGCAAAAGCGTGTGTGTGTGTGTGTGTGTGTGTGTGTGTGTGTGTGTGTGCGTGTGCGTGTGCGTGTGTGTGTGTGCATGCAAATTACGTCTTGGCTTCGTGTGTGGCCTCGATGAGCCTCCTGGAAGTTGCTAACAGCAGAGCTACAGTCAGTTCAGCGACGGCATCTGTCAGAACGTCGGGTGTGTAACCCACACGGATTCCTCTGCATGGACACACATCCATATTAAAAGATCACTATTATGATTATTATTATTATTATTACTACTACTACTACTACTACTTTTACTCATACTATCATCAGGTTCCTTCATTAAGTATGACATTATCCTAAACTTTGAACATTCTCTGTTACCATTCTTTCCTCCTAGCTTGCACATATTGCAGTTCATATTTAATATTTTATTTTAATATGCATTTTATTACCAAGGAGACATTTTCAATGTACTCAACTTTGTTTTTTTTCAACAAATTTACATACATGCAAGCAGCTCAATGGTGTTATGTCTCAGGCAAGTTTGAGGGTTAAATTTAGTATCTTGCTCAAGGGCAGTTTGACAGTGCCAAGGAAGGATATTAGTATCCCTCCCAAAAATAATCGCAAGGTTCCTAATTTAGTACCTTTTCAGGTCCGATATAAAGCCTTTTTGGGTGGTGGCCCGGTCAAGCCACCATGAGCCAAGTTGTGGTTGGCCTGCAGAACCGACACTGGTCCTAATTTAAAATACTTGAAATTCCTAATTATAAATGTGGACCTTCCTGAGGATGAAATAGTGAAGTTTGTCATCTCAGCGGCCAAAATGCACAAAAGTACTGCGGATTAAGTCAGCCACTTGAAAAAAATGAGTATATAAGGTCATGTGATTTAAACAAGTACTGAAAGCATCAGTGAACTTTGGGTGGCCTGACACAGTGACACGCTCGCCTCGGGCTGTTGGGCCACTGTTAATATTGAACCCTTCTTTTAGACGGCTAAGTCTTTTCAGAATGCCACACTTTTGCTCAGACTTGAAGGCTAGAAAAGAACGAATTATGTTGACTTGGGTATTCCTTGGTTCTTTTTTCTTTTGGAACACAACAGTAATTTTCACTGCCATCGACATCTATAGATGTCAAATATTCATGATAACTGGGAGGACTGGCAGGGAATCAATCTGACTAGTCTTTACGTTGGGTAGTGCACTGAATACTGCCAGTAGGTAGCATAGGGATCCAATAGTGCAGTTTTCTAAATGCTGACATAATGGCTTTGAGGATTGTGTGACATCAGAATCACCTTCTCTTCAGCTCCTCCAGAGAGAGGTGGTCAAAGCCCACAGACATGGTGCTTAGGACCTTCAGGTTCGGACCTGGAGGAACAACCCGAACATGTGTGTTGAAAGTGTGTGAGATCAGTTACGTTGAGCGTGGGCAGTCCTCAAACCTGCAGCATCCAACAGTTCGGCATCAATCTTCTCGGTCAGGACACAGAGGAGAGCATCAACGCCTTTGACCTTCTGAAGAAGCTCCTTCCTTGGTACTGGTACGTCATCAGAGTCCCATAGCTCAAATTGCACTCTGGGAAAATACAGATCTTGATTATTTCATAGCAATGATTTTTTTTTTTTTTTTTACAAAAGAAACATATGTCAAGTGAAATCAAACCAATCCAGTCAAAATAATGACTTTTTTTGTATAGTAGTATAGTAGTAGTATAGTATGTATAGGAGTGTTTTTATTTCAGTCACAAGTAGAGATACCCTTTAGTCTACATGTCTTATCTCACCTACTGGATGACAAACAGCACCCCCACGTCTACCCTCCCGCATAATTTACTCCACTCATTGAATTCTTCAAGGTGCTATGTGGTATGAAAAGTTGACCACCTCCAATATTCCTTATAGATACGGCAGCAATAAGTTTACAGGATGCTGGGTCACTCACTGTCCAGATTCGTGAAGGATCCTCAGGCCCTCTGGTGGGATCTGGCGGGTGACATACACCCGTGGTAGAGTTGACATGTCCCTCTGCATGACGCCTACTGGAGCCCCAGTGAGTGCCAGCGGCTTGACAGTAGCCCGCTGGAGCTGACGCAGTGCTACACGACTGCACCACATTGCCAACAGAAAGTAAACCACAGGGGAGGGGAGAGTTCGCTGCCACTTTGAGGTTGTGTACCGGCTGCGTGCAGACGTTGACCTCTGGTTGAGTGGGAGGTGCCTGCAGATCACTGGCCAATATGATTAGAGGGAGGATGTCTCTCGAGTCTGAAGGTGAATGTGATTGTATCATGTTTTCAGCATTAAGCAATATTATAGACTACAGTAATTGTATTTGACACACATACGGGGAGAATTTTGAATTGATTAGGAACAACATTTGACTCGCTTCTCCCCTATACAGTCTTAATGAGGGTCAGGACTCAGGACAATGTAAATGTTTTACTTGATTGTTGAACTTTGCCTCTTCAAACAGGAAAGATCCCAAATTCCAAAAGTTTGGCCACGACGATAGTTATGCAATCTCACGTTATCAAACAGAACACACACAAAACAAAAAACATGAGTTTGCTTTAAGCATGCGTGTGGCTGCTGGTAATATCCTGTTGTGGAATCACTTAACTCAACTTTGGGTACTGCTTCACAATCCAATGAGCTCCAAAGTAAGACCTATGCCAAAACCTTTCTCTCATTACATAAATAATAAACACAATAATACAATAATGCTTAGTTTTGATTGACACTGTCGCAATGATACGATTTATTAAAAAATTGCATATTATTGCTGTGGCACACTTTTGTGTTTTTTACAGCAACACGCTTTAGAGTGCTTTGTATTCATTTGTTGTCAGAAAAAGAAAAAGAATGGTCCATTTGCATTATTGTTTCGTCACGTCATTAAATAAAAAATAAAAATCCGGTTTTTGAAAATACGAGTGTTTACTGTGCAGCGTGTATATCTTAACGAATTCCTAATCCTTATCATGATGAACAAAAACACGTCCCTATTTTAAAAATGATACATACAATTGAAGAAAAAAAATCTATTTAAACAAAAAGGTTCTTGAAGTCTGAGAATTTAAAGTAAGATAGATGTAATTTATTGTTTACAAATATGGAGAAATATGTTTTGAAGTCAGAGGTTATTGATGCTTGGATATTGTTTTTTGAGGAACAAGGCGAACGATAAGTGAATCGCTCTTTAATTCAATGTTAGTAGGTCTTTGATTACAGCGCACCACAAAACCGTCAATCGTTTGTCATAAGAATTTTACACTGGCGAGCTCATTCGACGGTCCCGATCACGTGATCTTGTGACCCGGAAACGTTCCAAATTTCTAACCAATCACAACCATTCACTCACCACCGCTCCCCACGCACTCTGACTACTCTCTACGTATGAAAGATTTTCTTCATTGTAATAGTTTTAACAACGTTTTTAAAATTGTTTCGGAATTAGCAAGACGTTATCAGATGCCTCCGTTGGCAGCGAGACTATATGACTGGTGCGTTAGCACTTTCAACTAGTTTTGCCATGCCCCATGTCGGTGCTCGTCACCGGTGTCAGGCACTCGTACTACGATAGCTAGCTACAGTAACTCACAAAGAGGTTTTCTGAGCTATGTTCTTGAATACATATTGCGTGTTTTGTGTCGGGTAAATAGGTGCTGTTTCGATAGTCTGCAAGAGGTCCGTATTGGGTAAATGCCACTTTAACGATAAGTACAGTCAGCTGACACGTAGTTAGCCATTCAGCTACAACCACGGTGCGTTATAGCTGTATTTTTTTTAATTAGAAGCAGCAACATATGTGACAGGTCATCTGCTCACTCTGGGTTTATATAGGTCGCATCGTTATCTCTCAAGCAGTTGATTTCCAACCCTCTTCCCCTCCCAGCATGGCTGAAGACTCGATGGAAATAGACGACTCTCTCTACAGGCAAGTGGTGTCATCAGAAAACGCAAGTTATTCACTGTTGATGGGGATTCAAATGACCTCAAAGCTATATTACAGAACTGGCAAGAGCAATGCTTTGGATAAATACTATCATATAAAAAGCATATTACTGTTCTGCTCCCTTTCTCCTTCTGTCTAGTCGCCAGCGCTATGTGTTGGGAGACAGTGCCATGCACCAGATGGCCCAGTCCGCAGTCTTTCTCAGTGGATTGGGAGGGCTGGGAATTGAGATAGGTACTCTTATCACACCATTGTAATATACATTTGCTGATCACAACATTAGTTACACCTGCACAATTGTGAGATTGTGTTGGATAACCCCAATACAATAGCTGTATCAAAGATTCTGCCTTGCATCGATAATGCTGTTGCTCAGTATCAAGAGCTGTTTCATTTTATCATTGAATTGTGCTAGTGTACCCAATGAAGTATCCACTGTCTCTTCTACATACATGACCAAGCAACTGGAGATCTGACAATAGAAGTATTTTTTTCACAGCAAAGAACATTGTCCTGGCTGGTGTAAAGGTAGGCACTCTCTTAATGTTTAACTTGGGTAATATTGCACAGCATGTTGGGAGTAGTGATTAACACTTCTGCCCCACAGTCAAGAGGTTCTGCATGGGTTCAAATCTTCGATCAAGCCTGCCTGTGTGGAGTTTGCATGTTCTCCTTGTGCTTGCTTGCCTTTTCTCAAGGTGCTATGGCTTCTGACCACATCCTAAACCTTGCTTGTTAGGTCAAGTAAAGACAAATAATTGTTCCTAGGTGTGAGTGTGAATGGTTGGTTGTCTATTCTGTGTGTGCCCTGTGATTGTCTGGCGAACAGTCCAGGGTGTACCCCACCTCTCATCGACCATCAGCTCCAGCTTACCCACGAGCCTAATTGTAACAAGCGGTATTGAAAATGGATGAATATGATCGATATCTTGTGGAAAAGAAATTCTCATTGCTGCAATTGTTTAGACATTATGAGAATGTAGTGTATGTTCTGTATTGTGCAGGCAGTCACCCTCCATGACACAAAGCAGTGTGAAACCTGGGATCTGGGCTCGAACTTCTTTCTTCACAAAGAGGATGTGTTGAGCCAGCGGAAAAGGTAATGGGCATCAGAGATGAGCCATTCATCTTTTCTCACACATCAGAGTGATGTCCATCCATGCCGAGCTTTTATATCCTTTTTTAAAATCCTTTCTTAAGGGCAGAAGCAGTTTGCCCTCGAGTTGCAGAATTGAACCCTTATGTCCATGTTGACAAATCCATCTCTGCTCTGGATGACAACACTGATCTCAGCTTTCTCCAAAAGTATCAGGTATGTGCAGGTGCACCGAATAGAATAAATGAAATTGCTATGTTTAATATCTACTTAATATCTGACAACTATTTTTTTCCTAGTGTGTGATTCTAACTGAAGTCAGACTGAGCCTTCTGAAGAGAGTGAACGAGTTTTGCCGCTCACAGCGCCCTCCCATCAGAGTAGGCCTTTTAAACACAATCAAGCAAAAACAGATGACTGTCCTACAAATGCATTTCAAACATGTGAAATGTTAACACAAACTACACTGTCTCCGCAGTTCATTGCATGTGACACATATGGCATCTGTGTGCGGGTGTTCTGTGATTTCGGAGAAGAATTTGAAGTGTTGGATCCCACAGGGGAAGAACCAAAGGAGATTTTCATCCAGAGCGTCACTCAGGTGAACAGTTAAAAGTTTTCCACCAAATGTTCAGAGTGAATTTGGAGGACCAAACTGTTTTTTGACCATTGTTGCTCAATAGTACCCCATTGGGGCTACAAACTGTTGGAGAAATGTCTCATTATTTATTTCAATAATTTTCCGCTCAGGACAATCCTGGTGTGGTCACCTGCCTGGACAACCAGCCTCATGGGCTCCAGACTGGCCAGAGTGTCGTTTTCAGAGAAGTCAACGGCATGGTGGAACTCAATGGCACTGCAAGACAGGTTTCAGGTATTATATTATTTCTGGCAAGACTGTTTTTTTTTCTGCAGAAGCTGTCTTGATTGTGAAGATGAGTGAGAAATGTGTTTTTACTTGTGTCTATCTTTAGTCCTTTCCCCTCACAGTTTTGCAATAGGAGATACATCCCATCTACAAGCATATGCACATGGAGGTTTCTTTGTCCTTGTGAAGACCCCAAAGATATACACATTTGTAAGTCAAAAGCATCTAATAATAAATAATGGTTAATAATTAAGAAAAATACATTTGTGTTTTTGTCTCTGAACATCTCCGCAACATTTTAGGAACCACTTGAGAGACAGCTTTGGGATCCTCAGGTCTTGACTCCAGACTTCAGTAAACCAGAGGTGACTTGAACCGCAGGTGTTGGGGTTGTACTGTGGTGTATAATACAACTTGCAATCTCTTTTTAGTCACACAGAAGCACTACACCCTGTCTTTTCCCCTAAATATTGGGATAGCGTTTCCCACATTTTTCAGGAGATATGCCTGGCCGTACAAAGATTCACAAATAACTGACCCCAAAAAGGATTAAAATTGGTCATAAATGGTAAGATGGTGACAAAACACAAATTTTGTCTGCATATGGCAACTCAACTCACTTCAACAGAGTTCCTTGGCTCCAAGTGGAGCACAAAAACAGGAATTAAGTGGAGGATAGATTCCAAAACAAAATCAGTGAAGAGGGGAATTTGCTAAGGTTGAATTTGCGAATCTATTGCGGCACACTGTATTGATGATAATAAGTAAAAGTAACCTGAAACATAACATTTACTCCTGCTGCAGCCTCACCAAAATTTGCTTGCCACCTCCCTATTAGGCACCACTACAGATCCATGCTGCCATGTTGGCTCTGGACACCTTTCAGGAACAGCACAATAGACTTCCCAACACTGGGTAATCAAAACTTTTCAGTGCCCAATCTGCCTTTTGTATGGAACACTTTTGCGTGCGCGCGCGCGTGTGCGCGCGCGCGCACACACACACACACACACACACACACACACTAAGGTGTTGGGCTTTGTCACATTAACTCATGACAAAATTCACTCTATGCCACCAGCTGTTTACAGGACACTGAGACTCTACTGAAATTAACTGAGGAAGTGAATGCCACACTCAGGAACAGAGTAAGTGCACCCCCCACCACCCTAAACATGTTTTTTGAAAGAAGTGTTTCGTGAGTTTCAGGTCATTCATGTAGACATAAAGCCTATAAAATGTTAGTTAATCTTACCTTGCTGATGTTGCTATTCCTGCCTCTCTGTATTTAGGCTCCTGTTAATGCAGAGTTGGTGCAATGGCTCTCGAGGACTGCGAGGGGGACGCTTCCTCCATTATCGGCTGCTGTAGGAGGCCTTGCCAGTCAGGAGGTTCTGAAAGCCATCACTGGAAAGTTTGCACCCCTGCAGCAATGGGTAGGCGTCATACTGTAATATCTCATTTGGATTTGGCACTCTGACATGATCTTGTCGGCTATGTGTATATTGAGTCGACTTGTTTTTGGTGCAGTTTTATCTTGATGCCATTGAGGTAGTAAAGCCACTTCAGAATCTGCCTGCTGAAGAGTTTCTTCCTCAAGGAGACCGTTATGATGGACTGCGAGCTTGTATTGGTAAATCATTGTGTGGGGAACTGCACAAGCTTAGGGTCTTCATGGTAGGTTTTGTCCAGCTCTTAATTAAGTAAAAATGTTAGCACAGTCATATTCAGATCCATTTAAAATTCATGCTCCCATTTCCAACTTTGCAGGTGGGCTGCGGCGCCATAGGCTGTGAAATGCTGAAAAACTTTGCCCTTCTCGGAGTGGGTTTGGCTCAGAGCTCGGGCCAGGTGGACACTTTACTTCTGTTTGGTTTAACTACATATCTGTCATGCAATGATTTTCCTTACTATATGAAAAATTATTATTCCATATTTGTCTTCAGGTGTGTATCACAGATCCAGACCTCATAGAAAAGTCCAACCTCAATAGACAGTTTCTTTTCAGACCACAGCATATACAGGTGAGATGATCATTTCGATTAGCCTAGACGTTTTCCATACATTTTTTTTTAAGTTTGTCTCGTACAAACCCAATAACAATGACATGTTAAACATTTAAAAAAACATGTTCAAACCATATTTAATTGAATACACTCCAAAGACAAAATAGTTAATTTTCAAACCAATAAACTTTTGTGTTTGTAGCAAGTAATCATGAACTTTGAATTTAATGGCTAAAACATGTTACAAAAAAGCTTGGAAGGGTGGCAAAAAAAATCAAACACCTGTTTGGAGCATCCCACAGGTGAACAGGCTGACTGGGAACAGGAGGGTGCCATGATTTGGTATAAAAGGAGCTTCCTTGAATTGTTCAGTCATTCACAAGCAAAAATGGGGCGAGGTTCATCACTGTGAACAATTGTGTGATAAAATAGTCGAACAGTTTCAGGACAATGTTCCTCAACATACAATTGCAACGAAGATAGGGATTTCCTCACCTACAGTCCATAATATCATCAAAGCTTGGGAGAACTCAACTCCAACTCAATATTGGTTACCTATCCAGTCTCCCCAAACTCCCTACACTTCAAAAAGTTTCTTTTTCTCCATGTCAGAAACCAAAGAGTACTACAGCAGCCGAAGCCACTCTGAAGATCAACCCAGACCTGCAGTTGGATCCTCACCTTAATAAAGTGTGTCCTGCTACGGAGAGCATCTACAATGACTCCTTCTACTCACACCTGAACCTGGTGGTCACTGCACTGGACAGTGTAGAGGCCCGGAGATATGTGGACAGGTGGGTCAAAACTAGTCTGCCTCTCCAAGCAGTCTCTGTGATCAATAATTCCTAATAAAATAATAACTTGGATCTACATTGAGCCTTTGAAAGGGCCTCAATTTTAATTTTACTGTTTTCCAGCCGCTGTGTATCTAATCAGAGAGCACTCCTGGACTCTGGGACCATGGGAACTAAAGGACACACAGAGATCATTGTCCCAAATTTGACTGAGTCCTACAATAGCCATGTGAGTGTACTTGCAGACACACTTCCCTGCAAATGTGTACTCTTCTTCAAGATACAGAATGAATGAATTTGTTACTCCCCTCACTTTGTTCACCAGAGGGATCCCCCAGAAGAGGAAATCCCCTTCTGTACCCTCAAATCATTCCCTTCAGTCATAGAGCACACCATCCAGTGGGCCAGGGACAAGGTAGACCCCCATAAAGCTCATCAGAATTCATTCCCGCATCATACCAAAAATGGTGGTTGTTAATCCTATTGTCCTAATTTGGTCTTTACCATCTAGTTTGAGAATGCATTTGTCCAGAAGCCCTCCATGTACAACTCTTTCTGGCAGACCCACAAATCAGCTGAATTTGTGCTCCAGGTGCAAAAATCACTCTTTTGTTATTAATCCTCATGATGAAGTGCTTCTCTTCCTATTGTTGTTTTTAGTTCTAATGATTTCTTTACATTTGTCCACAGAAAATGCAGGCGGGTGAAAGTTTGGAGGGCTCATTTGAAGTCATTAAACTGCTTAACAGGCGGCCTCATTGTTGGGAACAGTGCATTACCTTGGCTCGGCTGAAATTTGAAAAGTATTTCAAGAGAAAGGTAAGGAAGGACTCTTACAATGTCTTTATTTTGAAAACCACTGCACAAATCATTCGGTCCACTTGCTTTACATGCACTGTACACTGAGGTCTTGATTTGAAACCTGCATTAATTTCACAATATGCTTTTTTGGGGGTTGTATTTTCAATGCTGTAGAAATTCGATATTAGAAACTCCTCTCAATAAATAACATTAGAGAGGTGCCTCTCTCTTCACCCTAACGCATAGCTGAAGTGTACAGAATTAGCACAGAAGATTTCAGAGACAGTTGACACAAACTAAATTCCCGCCACGACAGCTCACTGGGTGATAAGTTGCTCCTCTGTGCCAATGTGTGTGTTTGCTGTGTTCACTACTGTAAGGGGTTAAATGCAGAGGAGACATTTTGTGAATCTGCCTATATTCATGACCATAAAAAAAAAAAAAAAAGACAAGATTACCAAGGAGATGGACTATTTAATTGTAAATCAGGGGACCACCTCAATATTTTGTTCCATTTCACTTCCCAGTGATGCCATTTTCACATGTCCTAATAATTTTGTTCACGTTACCCATCAGGAACATATCATCTATCAAAAATTTGCATTATCTTTGTGAAAGTGAAATATTTGACACTGCTCTTGGGCTTGTTTATGGATCGTGCAGGTGTATCTATCCGCCTTTAACATTTTGATTGAAATGATCTCTTCATGTAGGCCCTGCAACTTCTGCATGCTTTCCCACTTGATACAAGGTTAAAAGACGGAAGTAAGTTTTCAACACATTCCCATAAAAGCGTATTATACACTTGGCAGCAAAACACACCACTGTCTCCGTTTGTCAGGTTTATTTTGGCAGTCTCCCAAAAGACCGCCAGCTCCCATCGATTTTGACTTAAAAGACCCCCTGTGAGTAAACTGCTTTGACGTTACCGTTCTTGTGTACTGCACAACTCATCTTACCCCACTGGACAACTCACTTTCCCCTTTATCCCTTCAGACATTTCACCTTTGTTGTCAGCACGGCCCGGCTCTTTGCTGGCATTAATAACATTCCATACTCAGAGAAGGTGAGTCAAATGAAATTGTGACTTCGGAGGTTTCAGCCCGACGCCGGCAATATGCAACGCGTATACGGACTGCTTCATTGTTGTTTTCACTTTCCCCTTTCAGGATCTCTGTGGAGAGGCGGTGGCTGAAATCCTCTCTCATGTGAAGATCCCTAAATACCAGCCCACTGTCAAAGTATGCTTCAATGTCACTGATATGAATTTCACCATAACGGGTCATGAACTCAATTTATTTCGGTTCATCGCCTCCTTCACAGTGTATCGAGACAGATGAGGCGGCAAAGAAGCCTGATCAATTGAAGATGCCTCTAAGCAGCGAAGAGGAGAGAGCGGCCATCGGGCAGTTACAGTATGCCATTGCTGGCGACTTTGTCAAAGCAGGTTTGTCTTCAGATATTTATAATGCGGATCAGCAACAGGTCGATGCGTCGACTTCCGCATTCTGCAATGAAGGTTATTGCTTGAAGTCGATTAATCGCCACCGCGTGCTTTGGCAACAACACGGGTGCCTCGCTGAAATCAACAGGTGGGGGGTCCATGCAGCAAACCAGTATCAGTGCCTCAAGCGTGTGGCAATAAAAATGACTGTTAGCACGGGCAACATGAAAACCAAGTGTATCCTCAAACACTGTTTGTGTGTAAGTTTTGCTTTGGGGCCATCTTGTGGCATATGCCAAAGAAACTCTGTTAAAGTGAGATAAAGAGCTTCATGTAGTGCTTTTCTGCCACCTTCAAAACATGTATTGAATATTGCCTTTTGTTTTGTTAATACGCTAAATGGAAAAATTTGATGGAAATTTTAAAACAATCTCACCCAGCCCTAGAACCTAATGAATATATTTCCTGTAACTCCAAGTGTGGTGGTGTTCTCATGTGATCTCTAGACAGGTTGCAGATGTCGCCGCTGCAGTTTGAGAAGGACGACGACAGCAACGGCCACTTGGACTTTGTCACTTCGGCGTCCGCCCTGAGAGCCAAAATGTACTCCATCGAGCCCGCCGACAGATTCAAGACCAAACGCATTGCCGGCAAGATCATCCCTGCTATCGCCACGGCAACAGCAGCTGTGGCTGGACTGGTGAGAAGATCCCTTAATACAACGCGTTCCATCTCAAAATAGCATGAAGTTCTGTTCAGAATGGTAACACAATTCGGTGCCTGATTGTCATCCATTCAACTACTTGTTATGGCTTAGGTGGCCCTGGAGCTGATCAAGATAGTTGGAGGCTTTGGCTTTGAATCTTTGAAAAACTGCTTTTTCAACTTGGCCCTCCCTGTAGTGGTCTTCACTGAGCCAGCGGCTGTCAAGCGGGCACTCATCAGGTACCATTGTCCGGGTTCTTATTCACATATGCGGCAAATTAATTGCATTTCCATTCATTTCAATGTGTAATGAGGATTTGAGATACAATCGTGTTCACGGAACAAATTATACCCGTCTCTTAAGGTTTCACGATAAATGAAAGCGCCATTATGCTAAACTGTTGTTGTATGTTGTGAGGGTGTTGGTAAATGATTGTTGCTTATATATTTATTTATTATATATTTAACTTACATATTTTTCTTTGCGGCAATTAATACATTAGTGGATAATGTTGGAAACACAATTAATACTGTGACTTGAATGGCTGACAATGCTCAATCCATCGTTTACCGCCTGCTTAGAATAATGCTCAGTTTGGATCGATGCTGTCACAGAGCGTCTTACTCAAGGGCAGCATGATGGAGAAATGGTTTGCGCATAGTGGGTTAGCACTCGCACATTCTGCCCCAAAAAACATGCTGAGTGCACCCTGCCTCTTGGCCTCAAAGTCTTCTGGGAGAGAGGCTCCAGCTCACCCGCGGTGCCTCAAATGAGGACAAGCAATTTCGAAAAGTGAGCAGTAATGTTGTGACATCCTCATGATGTCTTTCAGGGAGAACATCTACTTTTCCATCTGGGACTGCTGGACTATCAGTGGTCATGAGGACTTCACCTTGTCTGACTTCATGAATGCAGTCAGGGTGAGAAACACTCAGACTCACATATTTGCTGTTTTATTTTCCTTTTATTCTGAACTTCTTCAATGGTTATGATGTGCTTTTCTTTATTTCAGGAGAAGTATGGAATTGAACCCACAATGGTCGTCCACGGTGTGAAGATGCTCTATGTGCCTGTGATACCAGGACATTCAAAGAGACTTAAACTGACGTGAGTGCTTCATTGAGAAACGTTTCTTTTATTTCTTTGCTCCGATCGGTAATCTAAGAATTTTCTTCAAAAAGTTTCCATTTTGTGGAGATTCATTTCTTAATAACACTGGAAAACAGCAAATTTCAATCAGGTTACTTTTTTTGGGTGTTCGTAAATGTAAATTTGACACTGATTTTAAAACTGTCCGAGAGATATTAGATTTTGTTTTTAAATTTGAATGACAGCCACAGCCGAGGCTCCCTCAGTGGTCACCCAGCCCGACAGTCGGTGCCGGCTTCAGGCGGCCGCCAGAGACTGATGACGACCGAGCTGTGCATTTTCTTTTTGACACAACTTTTACCTTTGCTGCTGGATACTCATGTGGACTGAATGCGGAGCGGGGAGAAAACTAAATAGATGGCGGCGGCGCCGAGCGGCGGGTTCAATGTCTTCTTGTTTTATGTTTTATGGTTATTTTGTTTAAATTTTTGATGGGAAAAAAAAGATTAAAAAAAAAAACATTGTCTGACCTACTGACCCTATGTTGAAATTTCATGTTACCGGAAACACACTACTTTTTTTTTCTTCGCCTAATGATTAAAAATGGCACCCTGTGTTTTGTGCGTGCAGGATGCAGAAGCTGATAAAGCCATCGGCAGCCCGCCAATACGTTGACCTCACGGTCTCATTTGCTCCAGAGAGAGCCGAAGACGAAGATCTCGCCGGTCCTCCCGTCAGGTACTTCTTCAGCCGCGATGATCACATGCCCTGACAACGTCCCACTTCTTGTCACCTTCATGTATGCCGTCAGAATGACCAGGAAGTGGTCGCAGCACACACTCCTCCTCAGCCTTGGTTCCTGGTTTTCTTGCCTCTGATCCAACCATAGGAATATGAAGGTCGCTGGGTAGCACTTAACTGTATTTCTGTACATACAGTATGTTCTCTCTTTTTGTTTAGTTTTTTTTACTCGTGATGATAAAGTGGACAGCACCGCCTGTGTTGATGCCTTAAGACCCCTTTTTGTTTGTGGTACTAAAGCTGGATTAAAAAAAAAAAGTGTTTACAGAACCTTGTCGACACCACACAGCCACACTTTTCTCATGTGTGACAAGCTGTTGGGCCAGATTTAAAGCCAGTTTACACTTTAGAGGTTATATCATTGGAAATGCCGCCATACATGCCCGTGTTTGCCCATTTAGCCACACTTGTACCTGAGTCAGTGCTACATGTTTCCAAGCATTGTTTGATCATCGTTGTTCCTTCACCTCAATGCTTATTTATTAATTGTAGACGGACTTGAGGTGGCATCATGCTGCTATCCCTTCTAGGATCACAAGCAACATTTTCTAGATTTTTATTCTGAATTTGTTTTCCCAAGCGTCCTGATGTTGCATTTATTTACTCCATGCTGACTTGGTGTCTGTTTTTGTTGTGTTGATGAATTGTCAGGTAAAAGTCCTCAAAGTGTTGTACATCATGTATGTTGGAAGCTTTCCTACAAGTATTTTGAAGAGGTATTGTTGGAAGAAAAATAATGTGGCATTGAATTCCACCTCCTCACACAAACAGGTGGTTCCTTCCACTTTTTACTCAAAGGTCTGTACCACATCATTATTTGCAAATCAAATCAAAACTGTCAATGGGCAATGTTGATACCGTTAGTTCTAGTGACATTCATTTGGTGGTTCAATTAAAATGTGAGTTTTCAGGCTGTTAAACCTGCGAGTCTCATTTTGTTGAAAAGCACCATGCACTTTTTACTATATTGTCAAGATTAATTTATTTCATTGCTTAGTGTCATTGATATACATGTTCAGATACTCATCAGTACAGTTTAAAAAACATCTCAAATTGGCAGTTTTCAAATAAGTATGTTCACCACTTCCTTTACCTTTAAAAATGCAATTACTAGTTCATTATTTATGCTATTGATTAAAAACATCATTCTGTAGTTAAATATGACAGATTATACACAGAACAGTACAGTATATTAAATATCCAAGTCCTGCAAATTCCCCCAGCTAGGTCCTGCTTTGACTTTGGCTTTTAGCTTCACGTAAAGTTTTACTGCTGCCTCCATCTCCCTCTTCACTATCTGAGCCACCTGGCAGGACATAAAAACAGGACATAATTATGGAAAAACAATTACCTTGTCAGCCATATTGTTAGGTTCCCCATAAGGGTGCTATGTTGCCACAATGGTGTATGACACTAATTAATACATTTCGTGCAAATATCTCACGACTACAAACTGAATATTATATTTTTTTATCAGGCAGAAATGGTTGATACCAGCTCTAAATCTCCTTTTAAAATGCAGCTGGACCTGATGTTGTGGCAGGTGGGTGTACAGTTAGTTATCTTCAACACTGTCCTACCTGTATGAGATTCTCTTCTGTAGTTTCATAAAACAGTTCGTCATGGAGCTGCAGGACAAAGTAGGCTCCTCTCAAGTGTGCGCCCCTCCGAAGATGACCCGCTGTACCTACAGCACACAGTTCCCCATCACACATGCACGTCACGCAAACATGAGATTTGGTCCTGACTGAGCGCGTGTGGTTATGTGTCACCTGCATGTGTGTGCTGATGAGAGAGTGGAGATTTCGGGTATGTTTTTCTCAGCCGCCTGTGAATGTTGACGGTGGCTCGTTTAACGATGTCTGCTGCTGAGCCCTGGACAGTTGTGTTCACTGCTTGACGCTCCGCCTGGTTAGAACAAGAAGTTATCGGGATGTATTTCATCATTCTATGATACATCAATGTCAATAAGACACATTACATTTGACACTCATCACACTACCTATCAATCTGCCTAAGTCTATCCTAATGATCAATAATGTAACAAATGCCCCCCCCAAAAAACAATTATTGTGATAATCTGGGTTTTTATTTTGTTGTTAGAGCGCCATGAATCTAAATGAACATTAAAAATATTCTACAAGTTCTACAAAGTGATCTGCTGTGAAACAGGACTTTCCACGGTTAAGCTTGAATCAAGCGCATACGTGTGCTTTGACATGAGGATTTGTGCTGGTGATCCCAGGAAGGTATCTGCGACGTCCCATCAGAGTTTGAACGTAACCATCCTTGACGCACTTCTTCACCGTTTCTCTGAGGAAAGTGTTGATCCCTAAACACCCACAGAAACATCTAATGAGATCTAATGCAAGAGCTATCTCTAAAATTCTGCCTCTACAAAGATAGCCATGCTCATTTTGGATTGACAAAGTTGACAGGTATTAATGTTGTTTCTTATGGTGATTGTAGTTTGTACTGCATCATACCTAAAATGTTTCCCAAATTTTTATTTTACCCCATTAAACTTCATGTCAACTTCATTAATCTGTCGCCAGTCTTACCAAAAAAACAAAAACAACAAACAATTTGCAATGTCTGTTTTTAATAACAAAAAATAGGAATCTATACTATTGTTATTTATAAAACATACAAATAATGGCATTATTAAATATAATGGAAAGCATTACAAAGTTTTTGCCACATTCTTTGCTTTAATTCGATGGATATTGTGCCTCTCCTTCTCATGTGTGTGCCTTGGCCACCTGGTGGCAGTAAAATACAGACATAGAAACAGACATGGAGACGTCACAGTAATATTAGCTGTTGCTTGTAGAGGATAAAGAAAATATCTCTGAGTATTGTTATTATCGGACACAATGTTTTGCTCTACTAACCCTCCCCATTTCTCCGGGCTTGGGACCGGCACCGGGGAACAGTGTACCCCCAGGGGAGGGCACTGCTCCCCAGCGGCTGGGTTACAATGTTTTGCTCTACTGTTTGTGTTAAAATATCCGTTGGCAAAAGGGTTATAACACCATGACACCGATGCTGTTCGTTAGCCAGCTTATGCATGGTGTGTTAGCATTAAGCTAGCAGAATTTCTGAAGGCAAAGTTATAGTACATGTGTAATTGTCTTTGTTTTATGTTTAGTTTGACAGGATTCACTGCCACCACACAGCGCTCATATCTCAAGTATACACAAGGCTTTAGGAGCCGCTTTGGGGCCCAGTTGGAGGTTGCTCAACAACAACAACAAAAACTAAATTGGCCCAATGACGCCTCGTATCCTCAAGTCTACATAATTAGTGCGAAATGAACTGATAGTTTTCAGACCAATTAAGTGAAATAGGATAATTGGTAATGACCTCTGGTCAAGTGTAAAGAGACAAAGTGGTACCTACCTTTGTATCTGGCCTTGAAACTCTCAATATAGCAAGCTGCGTCATTCTCCTCCACGCCCATCTGCTCCCCTAAAGACTTGGCTCCCATCCCGTAAATGATGCCGTAGCAAATCTGGAAAAAAACAAAGCGGACTTGAGGGCTAAGTGATTTTGAATGTCCATGTTGTCACACTCATGAGTCATGACGCACCTGTTTGGCTTGCTGTCTGAGGTTGTCGTTGACAGTGTCTGGGTTGATGCTTTTCCATTCGGCGGCGATGCAGCGAAACACGTCGGCGCCCCCATTTAGCACCTGGCGCACACACACACGCGGACACTTATTTCTGTTTCATTCAAGTGTTGACACCGTCTATCGGTCGAAACCTGCAGAAGACGTTGATCTTTGGACAGGTGAGCCAGTACCCTCAACTCCAGCTGGGAGTAATCGACCGCCAATATCATCCCGCCTGCAGCAAAACGAGGGCAACAAATGTGAGACATGGGGAAAATCCTAGGCGAGAAGGCATCGCAGAGACTGAAATGCATCACGGACCTGAAAAGGGTACAAAAGCATGTCTCATGCTGACGGAGAAAGACGGGCCTGGATTGGCAGCCTCGTTGGTGGAAACCGACGGGGCTAAAGAACGTCTCTTCTTTCTGAAACATCAAAACTTTGATTTCTAGATGAATGGTGATTTTTAAGTAATTGCTTAAAAAACCTTCACTGTCCCAAAAATGCAAACTTTCTGGTTTTTCTTACCATGGTCATGTCATACACCTGTTTGTAATTTACGGCAACTGTTCAGCCCTATTTTGGAATGTGGCCAGAAAACGGAGTTCATGGAGAAAACCCACGCAAGCGCAAAGCGAACAAGCAAACTCCACACAGGAAGGCCAGATTCCAACATTGTCATGCAGGTGTAAGCATGATCCAATGCATTTAATCCCCTTGCTCTGACAGTGACAATTCCAAATGAGTATCAGTGTTAACTAATGTCGAGCGTACAAAGTATGTCAAAGCAGAGTTGCCGTACCCATATTTGCTCTTGTAGCGGCCATCTTGTGAAGACGGGCTCTCTCCCACTACGGTAGGCATGCAAATGTCAAAGTCTTTGGGCACATTCTGTATGTTAGGCTCTGTAAAGCTCACTCGCCCTAAATCAATAAGGAAAAAAAGATAATACAGATACATATGAGTATTGTCCATGTCTCGATGCAGTGATGTGTGTAGCGTACCTGTAGCTGTGTGCGTCTGGGCGATGGGGTAGATTCTATCCATGGCCAGTGTAGTGTGATACTGCTTCTCCCTCTGCAGTGGAAACACCACTTTAGTCAAAGCATTGGTGATCCTCCTCCACTCTAGAATCACGCCTGGGAGGGGATGCAGAGGCCGGAGCTTCTCCAGAACATCCTGTCGAAAGCAGTTTAGTTTAGTTGGACTCTTTTCCAGCTTTTTGGGTAGAAATAAGCCATTCACCTTGGTCGTGCTGAACTGCTTCCCCAGCCGAACTCTCCCTCCGGCTCTGCGGGTGTATCCGAGGGTCTTCTTGCTCTTTGATGTGCTTATGTCACCGTTTGGAGGCAGATGGAGCTCTAGGAATAAAACCTGCAAAAGGACATGCATGCTGACAGAGATACTTTTTGAAGATCACGTTTCTTAGACGCTCCTCTACACAAACCAATGACAACTTGGAAGGCCACCAGTAGAGCACCTACATACTGTAAATCACAAACTCCACCTCCTGCATATGCTTAGTTTTGCCGCGAAAATCCACGAGGAAAACTTTCAAAATGACCTTTCTCACAGTGATAAGTTTGTCTTGCATCAGTTTGGATTCAGCTGTTTGTGGATTTTTTCCCCAAATATTTGTTTTTTTTTTACATTTTTAAAAACATTTTGGGGGTTTATTTGTTTTTTGGTGGGGATAACAACTTTTTTTGTAGAAAATGTATATCAGGGATGTATCTGTGTTTTTTGAAGAATTTTGGAGGTTTGCAAGAAAATAACAAAATAAAAGTTTTTTTTTCTTGCCTTGAAATTTTCTCAATTGTATTTCCTTCAGCGTCAACTCTCGTCTATTTGGATTTTCGCTATTTGCAGGCCGGCACATATTTTGGCTGGATTTAAAATGGAATTTCTGTCATACATTTGGTAGGAAGTGTGTGGTCCTATGTGGTTTCCCTAGTGGTGCTGCTCAAAGGTTATGTCCCTTCCATCAATTAAATTGCCCATCTGGTTCAAACTATTCATATGAACATACTTTGGTGGGCATCAGTTACCAGCGTTCTTTTCATGGCAGAACTCAATCCTGATCATCCCAAAACAACAAGGTTTTACTGTACTTCCCAAAAAAAAAAAAAAACCTTCCTTGGCCGAGCTTAAATAAAACACCATCTCACCTGCGCTATGTCATCAATGCTGGTAAGGGAGAAGCCGTGTCCCGCCAGCTCGTAGGCTTGAGATTCCAGCGCTGCCAGTTTGGCTTGCATCACATGCTTTTGTCTCTCACACTCGTCAACACTGAATCCCACTCCATTGAGTTCCAGCAGAGCCAGACACACATGCGAAGGCATCTCGACGCTCCTGAAGTATTCTGAGCAGGCCGTGACAGGACATGACATGTCAGAATTGCTCAGAGTCATGTTTCTTACATCTTATCTCATCTTACCGAGTGTACCGTCTTTGTCGAGTAGAGTATTGAGATGGTTCATGGCGGTGTATACAAGCACACTAGTGGTCGCTGCCCTCACACGGGGACAGTGGGCGTGCGCATTCCCAAGGCCATCCAACAGAGGGAGCTCTTCTGGACAGTAGACGGTAATCATATTGACCAGAGTCCTCTCCTCAGTGCCAGGGTCTATCAGCCAGCATGCCACCTTGGGGAAAATATCAGCAAACATGAGGAGGAAAGAAAATGGTTTTTCAAGACGAATTATCTCATGCATGCAAGAGTATATACGGCGGAGCCCCAGACATGACATTGGCTGAAACTATTAAGTACGCACAAGGAAGCACTTTGTGGGCACAAACTACTACTTTGTGCTCATGGACTACTACAGAGTTGACTTTAAAAGCTGACTGAGACATTTTCCAAAGTTTTTTTTGGATAATGACCATAGTTTGAGCATTGTGCTAAAAAAAAAGAAAAAAGTACTTTTTGGCATTTCACGTTGTCGCATTATTTGTTCGTGCCTCCCCCTGAAATAACATTTTTGTCACTTTTTTTTTTAAATAAGAAAAATCACACTCTACAGGATTGTACGCCTACCTTGGGATCTTCACAGTTTCCCTCCAAGCTGATGCTGCAGCTCAACACCAGCTTTTTGTACACCTGGATGATGTCATACGTGACAACCGTTGCAGCTGAAGGCTGGCTGAGAAGGGTTTTCACATGCTCAAGCCTCTCACCTACTGGCAAACTGTCATCCACATCCGGAGGGGCAAGGCTTAAACTCAAACCTGAGAAGCAATGATGAGCAACTCTATGACCCGATTCCTGTGAGTGTGAGTGTGCGTGTGTGTACCTTTGTTCTGCTTTCGCTGAAAGGATATGTAGAATGCATCTCTTGCTCCCCAGCAGACAGACAGTCCAATCAGGAGCAGTCCATCACTGCCTCTTACAGGAAAACCATCAGCACCTTGGAGCTTCTGTTGCGCTGTTTACACAAAGGGCATTCACTAATTTCCCGACAGTCCTGACTGGACTTATGGAACACACACTAATCACGTTTTCCCACAAATGCAAATAAACGACCGCATTGATTACCTCTCTTATGTTTCCCACCTATTTCCTCTTCTGGCTCCTGCTGGCGCTCGACCCTTTCACAGGCCAAAGCCAGAGAGTAGCGTTCTTTAGTTTTCCACTCCTTGACAAATGTCTCGAAAAGGCGCTTGTCACTTGAAACGTCAATGATTGAGAATGTGCCACAGTTGCTGGAGGAGAACGATGCATCTTGTGAAAGCTGAAGAGAGAAGCCCTCGGAGGGGTCCGGCGATGTACTCTCACAGGGAAGGTGCAGAGCAGGGCCATTAGAAGGACTTTGGCTTTTGGATTTATGAAAAACTCCCGTTAGATCACTCGCAGAATATTTTGGAGGTCTCCCAGGCAGGACGCCCAAGGGGGTCGACTGAATGAGCGGCTGGGTGGTGAGGGGCGACTGGATAGACGTAGTGGTTAACTTTATTCTGGGCGTCACAGGTGCTGTCTCCTGAGTGGGGGGTATCAAATCTGCAACAGAGCCAGGCCTCTGCGTTCCACTCTCTGTTGCCTCTCGTGATGGTTGTGGCTGAACAGAATCAGACTCCGGGTTTGTATTGACCGGCCTTGGGCATTTTTTCCTCCCCCGCATGGACGGAGGAGACTTTTTGGGAGCCTCTACAGGGTATGATGGAGGAATTTGCTTATTATTGTTTATGTGTCCCAATGTACAGTTTTGCACAGGTTGATCAGACATACTGGGCCAGCAATCGAAGATCTCCTGAAGACCAGGACTGCAGTAAAAGCTGCTCTGACGTGCAACATCGGCATGTGATTGTTTTGAAATGATATCACCTGATGGTCGGGAGATGAGTTCACCTTCCTGTTCATTCTTGTTACATTCCTCAGTCAGCCTTCCCTGGCTTGTTCTGGGCAGTAAAGATTGTGGCTCAGCTTGCGCAGATGTGAAGTGATCCTCAGGAAGAACATCACCTTCCATGTGATTGGCCTCCTGTCTTTCCAGAAAATGCTCTCCCACCAGTAAAGAATCGCCCCACTCGGACAGGTTGAAAGAAGACCCACCCCACTGGATCGCTTCATGCTTCTCAACTTCCTGGTTGAAGAGGACCTCGCTGCGACGTTTTTCTTGGGGGGACAGTTGGGGGTGGATGCTTCTCGCCTGCTGCCTGCCCTGCTCCTCGAAGGCTAATCGATCCTGGTCTGTCTGGTGTGGGCTCAGAGAGTTCTCATACAGGCTGTCAAATAAGAAGCTGCTGCTTCTGTTGGGATCCTCCTCAGCACCGCCGGCGCCAGTATTATTGTTACCGTCATCCACGTTGTCGACAGCAGAATTCTGCAGAAACATCACAACCAAGATTATTTTCTGTCTTTTGGTTCCAGGTCGGTTAAATCAAGGTTCCACTGTATTTATTTGTATTTAGTACCATTTGGTGTAAACAAGTACATGTGGAAAAAAATGATACAGTTGTGATATCATGACGCACCTGATGACTGGTGTCAAGGATGAGCTTCATCTGGCTGTCGGTCAGAGAAATATTGAACAATGGGCATTTGCTGTTCAGGGTTTCAAGTCCGGCACTTCCTCTGTCTTCGATATCCTGCTCCACGTTGGCTTCTACCATTGCCTCATTTTGAAGATGACCACTATCGTTCAAATCCTGTGGATGTCCATTATTTCCATCGCAGTGTTCTATAACTGGCTGGAGAATTATCCGTTCAGTCTGAGTGTCCAATTCAAAACTGTCACCAAACGTCTCTTCTCCCAGATTGACCTCTGGCCGCACTTCTTCACTTGGATTCTCTCCTATGTAGAGCTCTGGAGATGAAAACATGTCCACCTTTGCAGCCTCTGCCCATCTTCGCTTGGTCTCAGGCGATGATCCTGGGGGTGAGGCAGGACGAGAGGACTCTGACACGTCTTCTTCTTTGTCCAGATGAAGTTTGGTTAGAGCGTTTTGAGCAGAGCCAGGTGCAAGATCAGCGGCGGCGTTTAAGGCATGTGAAGTCAGCCCAGTTGAATTTTGTAGCTTTTTGTCAGTTTGTATGGATTGAAGGACTTTGTTTAAGATCCTTGAATGCTTCAGTTTCCCTGGCTGCATAGGTGACATGCCAAGCCTTGAAGCATCGTCTGATGTCTTTGAGTGGCCACTTGGGTCTTCTTCTAACTTGGCACTTGGTGCTCTCAACCGAGGAAGAGGCATTAGTGCGAGATCTGGTTCAGAAGGTTGTTGGAGTTGATGCATCGGGGTGGACACAATTTCAGCCAATTCTTGTGTCATACTTTTTACTGGACCATTAGGCTGATGTGTTTCCTTTCTGATTGAAACTTGAATTGGGACTCCTTCCTGCATTAATGTTTTTACCTCCTGGCTTCTCGGATCTCTCTTTTCCAGATTAGCTTCACTTTTTGTGTTTGCAGCTTTGGATTCCTTTCTCTGCTCACTCAATTCTTCCTTGCTTTGCTTATCTAGTTCTGCTTCGATATCGGTCATCTCAGGTTTGCATGTCCCGTGATCTCCTCTAGGTTCTCCTTGAGATCGCTGTGCAATCGTATTAGCATCCACCATCGTATTTTTCTGAACAGTATCTTCCTGTTGGTGGCCTTTAACAACACCAGTCTCACCTTGTTGTGCGATACGGACAGCGGGAGCACAAGAGAGAAGCGCTGCTGGGTCCCACTGAATGCCCAGCTGCGCCAAGTCTCTCTGAAGAAGGAGCTTCGCCTCCGATACTATCGCAACGGCCGCTTCCTGCTCGGTCAGCGCCCGCCCGCCACTCACCCAAACGCAGCGGAGGTTCCGTCGCTCCACAGCCTCCACTTCGTTCTCATCCACTGCACGCTTGGAGCTGAGGAAGAACAGTACATTTACAGCTGTCGAATCAACAAACTTTTCTTTGAGATGCTAAAGTGGCCAATAAATACTTGGCAGCATTTTAATTAGAGATTGCTCTACGCTTCTATTGCCGTCAAGAACACTATTGAGAACATGTTTTTGGCATTGAAATTTATTGAACAAAAAAATCTGCAACATAGCGGGACCGTAATACGTGAACTGTGATATTGCGGGGGATTTCTGCAGTTATGTCGAATTTTTAAAAAGATGTAAATACCATATAATAAAACAGTCAGCGTGGTGCTAAGGAACCGCAATTAGTGCACATTTTACACACACTCAAACCCTCTTTACCTCTTAAATGGGACAGCGTTCCTCAGAGCTTTCTGCACATCGGCTACTGAAGCCCTGGCTAGTTCAGCGACAGTGCACAAGCCTTGTGCGTAGAGCGCCCGGGCCCGTGTCGCAGTCAGAAGGGAAACCCTTACCAGGTCCACAAGCTCACGCTGGATGCCGAAGCTCAGGCGAGTCTGGTACTGCGACAGCAGCAGCTCCATGTTACCCCAACCCAGACGCCTACAGAACATTGTTACCATACCTGAAAGATGCATGGAGCAGCCATTTAATAATGGTGTGCCCTTTGGTGTACTTAGCTTACAGGAAACAACATTTGGTACAACAGTACAAGAAGATATGCATCAAAATTCCACCCATCTATTTTCTGTATCATGTACCCTTATTATGGTCACGGGTAACGTGGAGCCTGTTCCAGCTGAATTTTGTGGCATTAAAATTCTGCCTCTAAGAAAAAATAAATAAATAATAACGCTCATGTTGGTGCACACTACCAAAGAATTATTCATTTTTCAATGAACCCAGGGGATAAACTGTGCTTCTTTTTTAAAATTTGATTAAGTGATAATATTCTTCTTACAGATTTAATGTCATCCAAATGTCTGCCATCGGTTTCCTTTGAGTTGACCGTAGTATTATCGCTTGTTTGGCATGTATAAAATGGCATCTACAATTGGACACTGCCCATGCGGTTGTCATGTGTCATGTGGATTTTATGCTTGTTGGCTTGTCTGCCGATACAACTGCATGCAGTTTTTCTAATACTGTAGGGTAGGTTATTTATCTGCAATATGAGTGATAAATAGGTTACAATGCCAACATGTAATGAATTACTTTGAGACATTTGACACAGAATTTTCTCACAGACCTCCATTGACTGAATTCTGCTGAATTTGAACACATTAGGATGTGATGTGGAGAATTTGATGCAGAAAGATTTTATATACAGTATCCCCATCTACATTTTCTCATTCATTCACAAGTACCTGCATATGTGGCAGCAGACTGTTGGAGAGACTGCAACTGCCCACGATTGCAGTTGTACTTGGATGCCACTGCTGCCAATGGTACCTCTTTGACCAGATCGTGCAGTACGAGAGTGGTGAAGAACCTGCGAAGGCATATCAAAAGATGGATAGAGTTTTTATTTCATTTATTTTGAAATTAGTACTACAGTGAATGTGAATGTAAATTTGGTTTTGACAATCAGAAATAAATCATCCATCCACAACTTTGCAATTTTCGTCAAAAAAATATACTGTAAATCTTTATTAGCATTAACTCGACTCTTCGGCATTCAGTCAATCAGTGCCTCAAAATACATACTGTAATTATCTCATTATTAATACATAAATGTACGCATGACCTTTTATGGATTGCTATTTGTCTGCATTGCTTCTCAGTCTTGGCGACAAGTTTTGCGCCGACTGAGCGAGCCAGGAAACCCTCCTGGACGCCCACCAACTCAGCCACTCTCTTCATCGATGTGGACAGCTGTTCCCACAGACAGAAGAACTGATACCAATCTATTGTAGTCCACTCTGCATACAATGGGGTGATCTGGTGGGGAAAGCTTTCAATAGCATTTATGCATTGACATTTAAACGACCATGGTTTGGGAAGGTGCTTAGGGATCCTCAGTTGTGCATTTACTGGTACAAGTGGAGATGGGTTTGGACGACTTTCATTCTAAACAATACCAGATAGAGAATGTGCAGGTCGTTTTCCAGCACAAAGCCCTTCATAGCCCGCTGCAGATCCGCAAATATTCCCAGCGCCTCGGTAGGAGAGAGGGAGGAGGACAAAGTGGCGGCACCGAGTTGAGTGGGACAGTATTGCTCTTCTGTAAATGCACACACATCAATTGATGAGAATGATTGATCCGAACGGGAACAAAAACGGTGCTTGAACTCCCCACCCAGAGCTAAGTAAGAAATCTGCCTTGTTGAAGAGAGGTTTTTGACAGTGTCACAAACAATACGTTAACAACAAAAAATGAGATAAAAATCGGAAACATATTGTCAATGGGTTAAAGTGTCAAATATTTTTGTGTCATGTCGCCCCGCTCATACTTGAGGAATTAGTCTCTTTTAAACCACATTGGAATCTGTCTTCCGATTTAATCGAAAACACTTGCTCGAGAAAAGATACGTAAAACAATGAAATACTTACCTTCACCGTCTTTCTGAACACTGATAAATTCATTCTCCATGAGCCATTCAACACAGGCCTCAATTGCCCCCCTGTTGCTGTCTTCCTGTGAGTCCTGTTTGCTGTTACATTTCATGCCAGCGGCCAGAAGTGAACATGAAGCATATAACCTCACATCCTGGGGAGTGCTGGCTACTCCTCCCACAATGATCTGCAGGTTGGAGTGATGTAATAATATATGACCAAAAATGACACCATACTGAAGGTAGTCAATCAGTGATAATCACACCTCCAGAATGGCTCGCAGCATGCTGGTGGTGACACCGTCTCCCTGCCTTCTCACTAAGCAGCTCCTGATTGGCTGAAGATCGCCTGTAAGGAGACTAACACCTTTCTGACGCTCCGCCTCCTTACACACCAGCACACTCTCACCTGGAATGAGGAAAAACTCATCGTGATTCAACAAAAGTGATTGTTTTCTGTCATTTATGCTGTACTTTTTTCGTACCCGTGGTGTCCACTCCTTTCCTCCCTGCTCGTCCAGCCATCTGTTTGTATGTAAGCGGGTCCAGCAGGTGTCCATTGAAGGTCGGGGTTCGAATGATGACCCTGCGGGCCGGGAGATTGACCCCTGACGAGAGAGTGGAGGTGGCGGCCAAGACCCTGACCATGCCCTGACGAAATGCCCCTTCCAAAACGTCACGTTCGTCAAATGTCAGACCTGCAGAGACCCATTTTATTCTGATTGAACTCAGCAGAGATTATTTTTTTTCATTCAATCAAATTCAGGCACCTACAGCATTATCAAGCTTTTCTAGCACTTACAGCTGTAGTAAATTATATGTTTAAAATAAAGGCGACATATTATAGACATTTCACCCGAACTACTGCTGACTGAAACTCGCATTATGAAAGTTGCATTGTGAACATCACGGCTCAGCTGTTTTGTGGGTTTGGTCACGTGACATATGACAGCTTTAAAATAAATTGTTCTTGTGCTATCTGAAAAAAAATGACAGTGACTGTTGTGTAACACTCAAGAAAGTAATACAAACACATAAATAAGTCTAATTTCCTTTCGCTTGATGTTTATAATAAAAGCTTTTTCATGATTGTTATGCACCCATGAGAGCTATGTGACAGATTTTATTCAAGCGAGCAATATGACATGGCACCTCCATGGTAGAATTGTGGTGTTTTTTTGCCATTTAAAAGATATTTTCATAGGACTTATGGTCTGTGAGTCCAAAATTATTTGCGAGGTGTTTTTTTTTTTAAGTGGTTGTATATTTACCAGCATGGTGAAAGGCCACCCCCCATGGCACCGCGCGTTTCAGAATAGGATCCAATCCTGCTGGAGTCCGACTCAATTGGGCTATGACATCCACTAGTCCCTCCTGATCCAAGCACACTGGTTGGGGTTCTAATTCGCCCTCGTGTTCTGAAAGATATTTATACAAGAACTACAGTGTACGTTTGCATATTCACAGTTCGGCATTAGCTCATTTATGATGTTTAAACTTGCCTCTATTGTTGGAAAAAAAAAAACAACAACAAAAACAACAAAAATTAAACAATGTTGAGTTTAATATAGTTCATTTAATATAGTTCATTTGTACAAGAAGGAGTTCTTTGACACCATTGTGTGGCATTTATTGGCAATAAAACATCCTTCGGGTATCCATAGCAAAAACATGGCAGTGAAAAATGCCAGCCTGCTGTAGGGGAGGTGCTCCCTAATTGGCGATTACTTCACCTACAATTCCGTACATTAAAAAAACTGTTTACGTTGATGTGATAAAACATTTTTTTCCCGTATTATTGAAATTATTAGTGGGTTTTTGAAATAACGAACATTGACCAACATTCAGGAAAGAAAATCTTTGGCAGGAATAATAACTATTAAATAACAACACTTTCAAAATGATGTTCAAGTTTCCAAGTCTTATTACCGTATATCTGAGGGGTAAATTGTGTTATAGCTAGCACACAATTACACAAATGTATTTGTACTTAAAATACTGAAGTAAAAGAAAAATAGCCACAAATAGTTTTTGCTAAAATGTGTGAAACAGAAAATTACCAGTATGTTTGAGGTTGAAGAACTCTCTGGCAATACTGTCGGCTAGTTTCTCACACCAGTTCTTGGAGGGGCAGAACAGCAGCACGGAATGGCCCTCCCGCACTGTCTCATAACACAAACTGACTATGTGCTCATCATCCCCCTTGATAAAAGTACAGTAGCAGTTAATAACAAGGATGTTATTTTTTAATTTATCAAGTCACACATCAACCTACACTCAGTATCATTTACCTTTATTGGGAGTGCTGGAGTGAAGTGTCGAACCACAGAGAGGCTCTTGTCGTAGATGCTGCAGCCCAACTTAAGGCGCTCCTGCAAGGGTACCGGTCGGTAGTCGGTCTGATAAAGCTCTGCACCTAACCAGTTGGCCAGGAGGGACAAGTTGGGCAAAGTGGCACTCATACCTACTATCTGCACCCCCTCAGAAAGTGACCTATCGGAACAGGAAATCTGTCTCAAATAAAAGAATGCGCGCGCGCGCGTGCGCGCACACACACACACACACACACACACACACACACACACACACACACACACACACACACACACACACAAAAGACAAACCCGGCGGTGTTGCGCTTCTGTGCAATGTAGCGAATTTTGGTCAAGAGAAGTTCAAGCAGATATCCCCTTCCGGAATCTCCAACCATGTGCAACTCATCCACCACGACCATACCTAGAAGCACAAATATCACCAGGTAAATGTCACACATGATCACCACTCGGAAGCTGACTTTCACAGTTGTATTACCAAGTAAAGCTATGTTGTCTTCCTCCATTAGTCTGTTAATGAGAGAGTTGGCCTTCTCTATGGTGCAGACAGCCACGTCCACAGCGGTAAAACCGCCAGCAGCTGATGTACTTCCCATGTAGCCATCCACACGCACACCCGCCGTTTCAAATACGCTCTGCAGGGCCACAGAAATCTATGAACCACACCGTTTACACAATTACATTATTTACCATAATCTTCCTCCTTTTCCTCACCTGAAGGTAGTGCATTTTCTCTTTGGCCACAGAAACAAATGGCAAAATCAAGAGAGCTTTTCTTTTAGTCTCCAACACGCGCTTCAGCATCAGCAACTCAGACACCAGAGTCTTTCCAGCACTTGTTGGAGCTATAAAAATCAGAAGAATACATCTTTAAAATGTTTTTTTAATATTTCAAATGTTTTTTTTAACTCAGTGGAGATAGATGTTCAGTGCCTTACCAGAGTAGACCAGGTTACCTCCCTGCAGAACCTGACCAAGGCTGAGGCACTCAGCCTGCCAGGCAAACATGTGGGTTACTCTGTGCTTGTGGTAACACTCCAAGACTGGGGTGGGTAAACCCCAACTGGATAACAGCAGCTTGTCCGATTGTGTGTCAGGAACACACAAGGCCAAGCCTGTATTGTGGAGAACACACAGAAATCACAATAAAATTAAGATAATCAAATTACAAACAGACATGATGGTTAAAGTGACAACATTTCTGCTTTACAAATATCGTCTTAGAGAACAATATGTTTTTGTGACCACATTTCTGTGACTGATCATGGGGGAAATAAATGATCAATTAAAATTTAGAGGTCATACTGTACATCAGACATCGACATAATAAAATCTGGGGGCTGTTTCCGGGGTTTCCCACACACCACAGAGACCATGAAGTCAGAGTAAAATGTAAAATATACGGTGCTTTTATTTTGAAAGTTGTGCTTTTTATTTGCACGTGTGAACTCTCGTACAAGCGAGGTAGCAAGCATGATCTACAACTTGTGTCTAAAGTGTTTCCAATTCAGCAAAGCTATATATAGAGAGACTTTTCCCACGCCTGATTGAATGATGCTGTAACCTTTTCGTTCACACAGAACAAAGAATCCATAACAATCGTCTTATGACATAAGGCTGTTTTACCTGGCTGAGGTAAGGCGTCACTGAGAGTATCGGGCTCTACGCCGCTGGGAACCGTCAGCACGGAGGCGGACTGATTCTGTGATGATTGCTGCAGTTTAGCCCGCTTCACAGCAGCAGCTATGTGTGTAGGACTGAACAAAATGTAGTCCCCAGAAACATCATGAGATGGACCTGCACTCGTATTCTCAAGTCCTTGTTTGTTACAGCAAAGCTTCGGCCTCCTGAAATACAAACAATACGATATTAACAGTAAAAACAGCAAAAATATGAGATCAGTGCAAGTTATGACTCACAAAGTGGACGTTTCATCCCCTTGGTGACTTTTTGTATATTTTCTGACGCATGCAGAAGCTGGTCCTGAATTGTTGCTTTTCTGACACCCAGCAGGCTGTTGTGATTCCTCCAAGTCCTCACTGAACAGAAGCCGCTGAGCGAGGTCTTTGCAGTTGGCTCTTCTAGAAGGTTTCTTGACTTTTTGTTTCAAGGAATTTTCCTGAACACTGTGAAATTCCGAGTCTACACAAACGTGTGCTTTCTTCTGTGCATCAGACGCAGTATTCCCGGGGTCGTTCACCTGCATTACATTAAGAATCTCTTCATCAAGAGCCAGTGTGGCCTCTCCGAGCGCACCCCCCTGCACGATATAATCAAGTGACTTCTTGTGTAAAGATCTGTCATTAGACAAATACAGTACAGTATACTAATATTCAACTGACTGACCATTGTGCCGCCTCTGCCTGGCAGACAATTGGTTGGCTCTAACAAGTTGTCACTGTGTGCTGGCTCCTCGCTAGTACGTAGAAAAAAAGAAATTATCTCATTTATCCGCGAACAGATGTGATAAAAGTACATACCTTTAACAGCTAAAAAAGAACTTACAACTTTTTCTTCTTGATCTTGTGTTGACCCATGTAGCATTTTCTTTTCAAAGGAGGACCACCAAGAGCACTCATGTTGTGCTGATTTTGATGAGCGTGTTTGAAGGTTGCCGTTACTTAACATGACATCGGTTTGTTTGTTTCTCGTCGCTGGTTTAAAAATTATTTTTGAATGACGGTAGAAAAAAACTGGAGAAAAAAACACAACGGAGGACTGTTACGATTGTCTGATCAAACACATATACCCCGCTTGCACGAAACTACGAATTCAAAAGTTCCGCCATTCTGGCTCCCCTTGTTTTACAAAAAAACAGTCCGATGGGAAATCATATCTGCATGTAATCGTTCCTGCATGATTTCGACGCATTCAAATATGAACTAAAGTCTTAACATTTCTTAAAACATCGTCTTCTGACATAGGTTGGCTATAACGCAAATGAGTAAAATGCTTGCTGCATTAACTTAGTCGTTGTCTCCTAAAATAATTTGCCTGTGAAAAGGTCGTGTTGGAGCACGCGAGTGTGGGCGGGACTTGACTGTCAGAGGGAGAAGGGCGTGAGCAGGCATCTGGTGGGCGTGCTCCCGATGCCCCGCCCTCTGCTCGTTGCGACGTTGCTGAGGCTTCAAGATGGCGGAAGCCCTGTCAACTCAGGAGCACCTGGTAAGCGTTTTTTGGCGAAGTTTTCACCTGATTTTATGCAGTGTGTACCGTCCAACTTGATACAGTTAATTAAAGCAACCACAGAGGAGTTGCCGTAACATTCTCTGCCACTGACTGGTCTGGGTAGCAATAAGCTGCCATGACTCGAACGCACCCTCCTTCAGGGCGACTGTCTCCGGTGTGCCTGACAGCGGTTAGCATGAGCAATGTTGGCTAACCCAAACTGCGGGCGATTGCCGCTGTTTATTTACCCACCCCCAAACGATCAATTTCCCACTGTGTTTTACAAGTGTTGTTCATGTTTAACGGAGATACGTCTTTTTTTTTCAATATTACGATCAACGTGGCGTAAAGTGCCCGTGAAGCTATGGTTAGCATTTAGCGACCACATGCAATTTAGCCCCCGAGCAAATGGTAACAACTACTCTTAAGCAGCAAGGGAATACTTGCACGCTGGTCTTTCTTAAAATATAAGTGTGTGGCTTGTCACAGAGCGATGCTCGTTTTAGAATGTCGTCATACTGAAAACTCTCCAGGGTTGTTATTCTGTCTTGTAAATTTTTCGTCCAGCGCTTACTGTCAAGCTGTGTCATAATTTACCTCCGAGAATTCTCAGAATTTACTCTTCCTATTCTCAGCAATTATGTTGTTGTCAATACAGTATCTGTATTACAAGTACAGAAGGTCTGTCATCAACAGCACAGCACGACATTTTTAAACAAGTGGGCATGTCAAATTACTAACAATAAAGACGTGAACACTATTAAACGTGTCATCAAAAGGTATACAGCTTTTTATCTATGCTTTTTTTTTTTTTTTTATAAATGCAAGGGGAAAAAATAAAATTAAATAATCCCGGTATGATCTGAAAGGATTGAATACGGTCACTGTGCAAGATGTTGACAGCAGATTGCTGTGGATTGTCGATGATGAACACTCAATTATTCGACACCCTCCTTTCTGCAGTAGATGTCAGGCTGTCCAACTATGTACCCTCAAGAGAGCCCGCCTTCCTCATCAATTTATCCAGTTGGGAAGCAACGGTTTTCTTGAATCTTGCTGTCCCCAGAGCACACAACCGCTCACTCAAGGGAGCTGACTATAACAGAGTGGTAGAACATCTTCAGCATATTTGTACATTTGGTAAAGGAAGAAGCAAGGTTAGCAAGGTCAGATGTGTAATTCCATCGATACAAATACTAGACAGGTGTACATTGCACAAGCCGTGTGAATATTTCTGAACTGATAATTGTCATAATTGAGGAAATCCCACCATGATGATAAACTGTTTTGACCAATTTAAGATAAGTACCAAACTACTATTTGAACCATGGTGTGTACAACGTGACTTGTGTCGTTGTGATCTTCTGCTCATCCCATCAACACCATTTTTATGTTGCATGCCCTATTTCTTGCAACCCTCTTTTTTTTAATCTGGGTTTGGGACCAGCAGTGACTGGGTGTACGAGCACTGGCTGGGAATTGATCTTGTGCCACCTGCGTGAAAGGCACTACAATAACTGTGCTGACTATATGCAGTATTGTTTTATCCATGTAAACTGAATTGGTTGGAGTTTACTTACACCTTAAATTCCTTCAATACCTGGTTAAAACGTAACACGGTCACGTCTTTTTGGTCAAAACCAATGTCGAAGGAGTGACACTTTGATGCACACTTGCATGTGCAAAATGTCTTGTGCTGGATACCAGGTAATGATAATTACCTGTATTGATTGTTGCACTATAAAACACCACAATATTGATTGACGTTAAAATCCAAGGAGTGTGCTTTTGTTGCTGAATCAAAACATGCATGGTTGGTTGGCTGCGTCTGTAAAATAAATCTTGTATCTGCAATGTGACCCATTTGTTTCTTGGCTTATCTGAAATTTGTGAAAGTAAAATGCAGTATTGTTGTATGTCATTGCCCTCCTTGTACTAGTTCTAAATTTGAGGACAGATGCAGCTCAGTTGGCTGTTGTGGCTGCTTGCTTTCATCCATGTCATGTTCCACGGAGCACAGCATTTGCGTCTGACTTAATTATTGCATGAAAATGTATTGTAGCTTCATTAGAGAAAAAGTTGAAGGCCCTGGTAGACTTCATAATTTGATCCCAGGTGTCTTCCCTCTGTTTGGACAAGCCTCTGCTTATTCCGTTTCGACATTCTACACACGCGCACACACACGCGCATATACAGACACAGCCACAGACAAGTCTCTTTTCCATCCCTCTCTATCTGTGTCATGTTCCAGGCTGTGGAGGAGTTCCTGAGTGAGGTGCGTCGCAGGGAGCAGCTTCAATGCGCTGGGCTCGTCTCCCAACCCACAGCTGTTAAGTTTCTTATGGCCCGCAAGTTTGATGTCTCCCGAGCCGTCGACCTCCTCCAAGCATACAAGGTACAACTGGGTCCAGCGTGGGGGACACCACTGAAATAGCCTTTTCAGCTGTCAGTGAGATCCTACCGAGCAGGCAAATATTTACTCCTGAACTGCAAACTAATGAGATTATGCTTCTCTCCTGCCACAAACATAACGTATCAGAACACAAGAATCAAAGAGGGGATCATCAATATAAACCCTGACGAGGAGCCACTCCGTTCTGAGCTGCTCAGTGGCAAATTCACTGTCCTGGTGAGTGGTGGAGACCTACCGAAAAGTTGCTGTATATCTACACAGCACAGAGATTTGTATTCCTACCATCTTCAAACAAAAATATTTATCTGTGTGCCTCCTATTCTTTTGATGTTCCCTCCAGCCTGGACGTGACGCAAACGGTGCTGCGCTTGCACTCTTCACTGCTCGCCTTCATCGGCCAGATGTGACCACTCACAAAGCTGTGCTGCAGGCCATCATTTATCAGCTTGATAAAGCCATAGACAGGTGACGCACACCCAACCACTGTGCCCTGAAACTCCCCCTTTTCTTGACAATTAGTGCACCATCTTGAAGCTGTTGTCGATTTCTAAATGGTCTTTTGATTCTTCACAGTGTTCAAACTCAGAGAGACGGACTTATATTTATATATGACATGACCAACTCCACTTATGGGAATTTTGACTATGATCTCTGTGTCAAGATTCTCAATTTGCTCAAGGTAAGTAATGAAGAATTTGGTTTTGCACTGTGTCCAGATCAGTGATTCCCAACCACTTTGCTGCGGCAATGCAGTGTGCCATCAGAGACCTTCAAGTGGGTCCTGGAAAATCATCAAATTTCTATTTGAAAAGTTGAAAATTAAAACCTCAGTTTCTCTTTTAAATAAATAAGTAAATATCTAAGCAAGCCTAGATTTCACCTTGTGTAAATTTGAGTAAATTGTTCTTTAATAAGTCCGCACTTATACTTTTCGTGACATTTTTGCTTGGTGGTGTCATAGCACCAGACTAACTTTTTTTCTTTGTTTTTTTTACGAGGAGCGCATTGGCCGCTAATCTGAAGTTTTAGGGTGCAAGTACAAAATTTAAGGGCTGCACATGAATCACAAATTGACTTAGTAGTAGTAAATATTCAGATTTCCACCCACTTTCACTCTTTTGTTGATAAATGGGCAGAAGTGTGGAGCAGATGTTTGCCAGCAGCAAAAAAATGTCCAAGAATAACAACAACAACAACAACAACAACAACAACAAAAAACATCACACACACACACACACACACACACACACACACACACACACACACACACACACACACACACACACACACACACGATTAGGTACAATACATCTGTATTTGTATAGCGATTTGAGATGAAAAATGTAGTTGCACTGTCTCAAATTTTAGGGGCTAAATGTCCTAGTTGAGTGGCAGTCTTGAGCCCTGTGTGTGCTGTGAGATTTTGTCAATGTAAAAATATGTCTGTCTGCTCTATAAAGGTTGGGAATCACTGGTGTTATTTTAATTAAGATCACTGATTTGCTACCTACCGTTTGTTTCCTCTAGGGGGCGTTTCCCGCTCGCTTAAAATGTGTCTTCATTGTGTCCTCGCCTCTTTGGTTTCGAGCACCTTTTGCAGTCCTTCGCCTCTTCGTGCGTGAGAAGCTGAGAGAACGGGTAAGACTGGTTTCACCAAGAAGGCCATAGTTTATCTTTTAAAAAGCTCCTGATCTTTTGCTATGAATTGAACCCCTGTTTATTGGAAGTCATCCATTCTCTTCCACCCTGCTGTAATTGAAACACATTATCACAAAAAAAATAGCAAGTGAAAAATATATCAAATAGAAAATACTGTACAACACTCTATTGATTAACTGTGACGATCCCTGATGGGACAAGCAGAAAGATTTTCAAATGTATTGAAAAGTGCTGCGTACTGTGGATTACCACTAGTTTGCTGTATGTTAAGACTCGACACTGACATTGTTATCTTGCGTTGTCAAGACAGCAGCTGCGGAACTCCCCCTATTCTCTCAAAACCATATCGCAGAGTTTTATGTTCTGAGTGGACAGGATTTTCCTCTGTGTCTGAGGCTCACTAAGCTTTGGAAGACTTAGGACACAAGGGGGCATTCATCGTTTGACCCGAGAATGCTTCTTATTACCAGCAGCCAATCAGAGCCCAATACTGCTTCAAAATTGTATTTATTTTATTTTCATCATACCTTTTTTCACAGTACTTTTTAACCAATATTTATGTTTTCACTATTGTGGAGCATTTATACAGCATTGACACAAAAAGCTGTACAATCCATAAAAAAACATGGCCGTGTCGGGAAAAAACACTGGACACTAGAACAAGGGTGTGAATGCTGAAACACGGTAGAGTTGGGGTTCACTGTATAGGTCAATTGAAATGTATTTCCTTTTCTTTTTCATCCTCCAGGTGTGTACAGTGAAGGCTCACGA